CAACAAAGTCAATGCCATAAAACAGCATTGGAAACGATTTTAAGCCAATTTCGCCCATCTCCTAGTTTATTTATGATCCGTCTTAATGTTATCCTTCCATTTCATTCTCCGTCTTCCACGCTGTCATTCTCCAAGAGGCTTCCTTGCTGATACTCTGCAAGTACCGTCTTTCTAGTCTCGTCCTAACCCCAAAGCTTATAGCGTTATTTATGTTCTGTTACCTAGTAAGTTAAGATGAAACTATTAATGCAATTTGCACCACAGACAAGACTGCGAAAACGTCAGGACTTTAAGTAAAGGAACAAAGGCTCAGTATAATCTCATTCATCTAAATCACCGCAAGTCGACTCCTCACGAAGCGCAGTTTCTCTTTGACAATTTCTTCCTTCTCTAGAGGCCATAGAGCAAGATAACAATTTTAACAAGCATTAAAATCGCATGGATGTGGTGTATTTTAGTGCTCCAAAGGATCAGACCTTATGGGTCCGCATGTCAAGTTACAATGATTCATACGTTGTCACCGCTACATCAACGAAACTCAGGCATGTATCGCGCGGTCTCCATGTTAGCCCTACATTCAATTATCTTAATAATTAATTCCATAAAGTTAGGTTCTTCTCCAGATGTCAGAAGTCGCCGAGCGTACACTGATAAAGTTGAACGCAACTGACACCTCCCGGCATTGACTGCTATAATATAGGTAAGGTAATTTTATTGTTTTTATGGAGACTCCATTCGCACACAGAAGAAGTCAATGGCAAACCACTTCTGGATCATCTGCCAAGAACGTATATGAACAGGTCCCAGTCCGAGAAAAGGATGGAAGGATCCTGTTCATATGGACCTGTCGTCAGACAGAACACTAATAATAATAATAAATGGAGAGATACTGGACTTATTCTAGTCCCGCGCCGTAGCCGCGCGGTCTGAGGCATCATGCTTCAGACCGGCGATACGGAATGCGCACTGGTTCGAGTCTCGGGGGAGAAGAAATTTTCTCATGAGCTTTCGACCAGTGTATGGGACCGGTGCCAACCTGGCATCGTGAGGAAATTGGGGAGCTACAATGAGTAGCGTAATCCGGTCAGGAAAGCTAGCAATGGCTGGGGGTTCGTCGTGCTGACCACACGTCATCCTGTATCTGGTTGGATGATCGTTCACCTCTGCTTAGGCATGTGAACGTGAGGCCAGCAGTCAAGTTAGTCGGCTTTGGCTCTCAGCGGGCTGTTACGCCACGGATTTAATTTCACTGGACTCATTTATAGAAAACCTTGTGACAATTGCCTTCAACTTTATCAATGAACGCACTGTACCTAAGAGTTCTATGTCAGACAGTTAACACAAACATGGAGACGGTGCGAGGCTCTGAGGTTTATGTTTGACACAGCGAATACAACACTGGGAATAACATAGACAAATTAATAAACATAATTAAAATTGTCAATGTACAGTTGTTACCAGCCTCACCTGGAGGTCGAAGCTGTACGGTATAGGCATCCCGTCACTCCTTGTTATAATGGTTCAGCTACTGCGCCTAGCTTTCAGATGACAGGTGCTGCTTACCAGAGTCGTCCCCTTACTACGTGAAATGGTTGGGTATAAATGTGTAGACATCATGTCATGTCAAACTCATTGCCTATTTTAGGTCGCTTCGAAAGAAGGTCCATAAAGTTGGGGGTTAAATCATAACTTATTACATCTATTGATTTGAAGGTCAAACCAAAAATACATTTTTAATTTGAAGTTTATTAAAATTTGGACACTTTCGGCTGCAAAAAACATTGAAGAGGGCTGCACGCGGCCTGCGAGCCACGCACGTGTTTGACACGCCGCACTACATGAATACGGGATTAAGGTCTGTCATCAGTTAATCCGAAATTATATTTTCCTCTTTGCATACAATATCAATTAGGGGTAGAGCTTTAAATGCAATATGAACACCGGTCCGAAATTTAGCCTTAAAGCTTACGTAAGCCTCAATTAGCTGGAAAGCGTAACTTAAGTTTCAACGTAAACCTCGGCTTACGTCAACGGGACGTTGAACGCTGGCGGAGAAACGGGGGAGTTACGTCACAGTTTTTGAAATTACAATCTTTGAAGCTTAGGTTCACATCTAATGAACTCTTTCTGGTAAGAAAATCGTTCAACGCCACCAAAACCAAACCCCGACAATGAAAACTCTCACGAGCCAGTCGAATCCAACTACGACCATTGCACATTGCTTCACTAAAATTCATTTCAATGTTACTCTTCCAACTGTTTCTCGCTTTGAAAGGGACGTTTTCCCGTTATCCCAACCAAAATTTCGTAGGCCAATATATCCTCCATTATTAGGGAAACAAATAAAGAAACATATGTTGGACAGAAAGGTAGCAGGGGTGGAGGGGTGTGTTACATTAAAGTGATACGTGGTGAGATCCAGCGGCAGGCTTTTATTAACACGGAAATGAGCACTCAAGTTCAACAAAATTAGGACAATTTCTTGTTTAACCTCCACGATTGTCTAGCGGTTAGAACGCTTGTAATACTGGGGTCCCGGGTTCTATTCCCGGCGATGCTCAGATTTACAACTTGTGTTGGGCAAGGCCGTGGTCCAAGCATCACGGAGTTTTCCTCCGGGGTTTCCCCGGTTTCTCCGTAGCATCCCAACAATTACCCCACTTTCATCATCTCGTAAAAAGGGGGGTCACAACAGGAGCGTTAAATGTCGCGGTCCCGATCGAACCCATGTACTGATGGGTCGTGGATCATGCTAACCACCAATGCACACCATGCTGAATGGTGTGTATTGGATACGAAAAATAATTATTGTTTAGCTAACGACTATCAGCTTCTCAAAATTAATTTTGCTCCACAGTTGTGTGTAGTTGAACAATCTCGCTCGAAACAAATAGGTCTACAATTTCAAAAAGCATCCGGGCATACAAGGAAATGTCGCCAACACGGCTTATGCTAAATTGTAGATGAATAAAACTAATGTTTTTGCCTTTTCATGAATTTTTCAAAAGAATTTCATAAACTAAATACATATTAAGATAGTCGTATCCGTAAATAGTTTATCAACCTGCATGTTTTACCATCTTAACTAATAAAGAAGCTTAGAAAAATATTGGCAGTGATGGTTTGCAAACTGAAGTCGTTAGGAAAATTTTGTTTTTGTCTACATCTGTTTAACATAAACACAACTTTACATGAAGCTGAAACCAACCTTTATCTACGCTTTAAAAACAAATGCATAATATAAAAACTTCGCACATAAACGTAAACACATCGATCTTAGGGCTTCACGCGGACTACATCACACGTGTTTGATTCGTTGAATTTAACGTGGATTTCAGTTCAGCTTATAAAGAAAAATATAATGTGAAAGATGCCTTACGTTTTCTCATATTTGCACATGTTTCGAGCGTATGCAGTTACTATTATGTACCTATTTCAATGGCTCTCCACTTCCATTCCAAGTCACGTAGTGTAATGCGTGTTGCAGAATGAACGCGCCTGTAACATTCAGTGTAATCACTACGTGACACAACTTGAAAACTATGACGTGACGTGGTCCTTTGAGGTTGAGTCTGGCACAGCAGATTGTGAGAGAATGTAAAGGTACAATTTGGCTGCACGCGATAGAGACAAGCGACCGAGGCAGGCGACAGAGACGGGAGACGGACACATCGCAGCTTGTCGCCACACAATTCTGAGGTGACGACCGAGACATGCGGCAAAGTGTTTGTTTTCTTTGTTTTGTTGAGACATACGTGCACATATTCTGTGAAAAATGAGTACAAAAATGGTTCTAAAAAGGTTACTCGAAGAAGAAGATGTGTTGCTGTGTTATTTGTTGCGAAAGAAACAAAGAAAACCTATGAGTTCAATATTCAAATCCAGACGTGAAGAAGGATCTTTCTGTCGGTGGTCAGTGGTCGGTTTTCTGCTACTAATTCTACCAATTGCTCATCTTGGTAACCAGTAAATTGAATTTCTACCATTATTTTACTCAACAACACACGTGCCGCCTGAGCCTGTCGCGAGACACTACTGGTCCGAGAGCGGTCTCCTGTGCTTTGTCTCTGTCGCCTGTCTTTGTCTCGCGCTCGTAATTGTACTTCATACGAGAGCAGACAGGAAGCGACCAGTCTCGGTCTCGCAATTCTGTCGCCTGCCTCGGTCGCTTGTCTCTGTCGCGTGCAGCCAAATTGTACCTTAAGGGCTACAATCAGTGGCGAATGCTCACTTCTGACTAGTAATGTCATCGCCAAAGTAGAATTGGAGGAATATTAAAGAAGTGCTTTACTATAGAACACAACAGCGAAACAACATTAATATTACTATTACCCAAACACCTTAGTAACGTGGATCGATTGTTGGGATAGTTCAATAATATTCAATTTCCTCACGATACGACGTCTAGACCAAGTTTCGCATTAAAGTTCCACCACACGATTAAAAAGCGGTAATAAGTCAAAATCCGACTTATTACTAAATTACTAAATCACACCACTGAAGAAGATTTTTTCTTAAAACGCAGGTATAAAATATCCTCCGTTTTTGTGGTACACAAAGTTTCCTTTCGGATTCACAAAAAATAGCCAGAATAAAATATTTCTACTTATTCCTCTTAAAAAATCACAAATTATGACGTATGGGTCTGCTCCAGTCAGAATTAACTTTTTAAACTGAATACTACCTTGTGACGTCTCGATCTCCCATTCAGCGAGTCGTAACAAATATCTTCAAAATTCTTTCTTAACTGACCAGACCAGAACGTCTAATCCGTGACAGCTTTAAGAACTATGAACTAGTTTATTAAACTTTTGGTAGGATTCCTTCAACATGAATTAAACTCCCCTGTGTCGTACGCAAAGACCACTTAATTAAACACCTCTAAGCGATAAATTTCTGGTTGTGGACTCGGCCTTTCTTCCTGTACAGCCAAAACACAGCATTCTCCATAAAATAACTGTACTGTACTTAAGAAATAAAATCACGATATTATAACTCACCCTGTACCAGAAGCTACCGCTGCGGCCGCGTCATACAACCCATACACGGCAGACGCCATGTCGTCTTCCTCGCCAGCAGCAACCATCACGTCATCAGACGCACCACACATGGTCGCCAAGAGCTGCTCATTCCCACCACCAGACGGCACAGAGTCCACTGTCGTCAGACCTCCACCAATCACAGACCGCGGTCCACCAGCGAGAATTGAAAGGATATTGTTGCGTTGGTGTTTTGTTGGTGATATGACAGCGCCAGGCGAAAGGCGATTGTTTGATGTACTAATTCCTGATGGTGCCGCTAGATGGTAGTGCGGTCGCAACCGATTCAGTATCGAACCTCCGCCACCAGAGTGGAAAACTGTAACGAAAAAGGTATTTTTGGCATTCAATATTGAGATACTGATTAACAGTGTCTGGGGAAACCCGTGGATCTTAGGGCAAACGACTTATTTCTTCCGTACAGTGCCAAGAGTGACGACGTAAGGAATTCTATCTCCGTTTCTCTTAAAAATCTTGCTAAAATTCTTCCATTACCACGCAGGCAAGAAAGGTAAAATACAAACAGAAACTCGCCAACTTTGGAGTTGAAGCCATTCAAACTTGCAAACTGACTCGTTGTTTTGGTGGTAGACACAATTCACTATGCCCAGGTACCCATAAATACCCACACGGCATTCGCTACCAGCCGATTAAATTCCTGGAGCAGTTCTCGTATTAGAACAATAGGCGGGAAACAAGTCGAATAACGCAGTGCACGTACAATACGGTTTACGCGGCATTATGGCACTGACTGGTGGTTGTGTTAAGTGGCATTCTGAGTTTAACACGCTTTGTTACAAATGTCAGCTGATCGTGAACTAGTTTGTGTACTTTAAATTACCAGCAGACTTGTTTCGACTGTATACCAGTTTCAGAGTTTCAAGGAAGAAACACTTTTTCCGAAATTTGAGTGTCCTATTTCAGTCCGTTCTCAGTTTAAATAGCAAATATGAATTTTATACATAACTGTTCTCCGGTTTTAGTCAAATTCGGTAGGAACAGCTTGCCAATACGACCGTGGAAAGGAGAAGAAACGAATAAATGTTTTGTATCCGTAAAAGATGAACACGAAAATGAGTGAGGAAATCAAATAACGCAAAGAACACATTTAGAGCTTATTCAGGTTTACTGAGCTGTTTTTAAATTTAGAAATTCACTGTAGTTATATAACAACCCTTCCCACGCTTTCTCATTAAAAATAATGTTCTGTTTGTTCAAGAGTATTTCCATGTCAACAATTTCTACTGCTGAGGAACCACATAAAGTTAACTTAATTTACTGAGTTGGGTAGAGAGAATTGTTTCACTGATCTTTTGAAACATTCATGCATCCAGACGAGAGCGGTCAGTGCTTTAAGCGAGATATCTCGAGTGTGGCGCGGGAAGAGTTAAAAGTTTAATCAAGGTAAATAACGAGCTCTGTCTGCTCTTTATGAAGATAACACTGGGCAGATTCCATGGATGTGGCCGCTGCATTGAAAACTATGCAATTGATGTTCTGTGCCATGAGACTAACGAGTATATACAACGCAATACCCCGACGTAACTTTTAATTTACCTGACGTCACTCCGGGAAGTTGAGTCCGAGCTGATAATCCACGGAATGCGGGATGTAGGAGTAACTGTTGACCGAACAGATAATTCCGGCCATTTTGTTGAGTGTACGGTATAGCTTGCATGTGTCGGCCATTTTGATTGCTGCCAGTACTGTTGGTCTTGCTGGTGGATGTAGGAGGTGGGGAGGTGGTGGGACTCTGGGCAGTGGGAGAAGAAGTGTCCACGAGGTCCGCTGCAGGAGAGGAAAGGCCCAGCACTGCTGTGTTCAGAAGCTGCATCTCCCGCATCTGTTCTTGTCGTATCTCGTCGTTGTAATCCTGTAACACGGAATTAAATTTATTAGACCATCCTGAGCTAAATTTAATTTATAAAAAGAATATTTCTGTGGTAACATAATTTACAATGACTAAACGTTATACATTTTTGCTTTAAATGTTTAAGAGAATGTAGAATTTGATGTTTTCGCAGCGGTAAGTATGAAGATTGCTATCTTCTGGGTTATTGCGTCATCAAGGCGATAAATTCATCGCCCTGATGACGGAGGCAGCATGATCTCTGAAACTTTGGTGGAAATCTATCAGACTACACGCCGCAATAACCCAGAAGACAGCAATATTTATTAAGAGAAGTCAGGATTTCTTTTATATTACCGAACATAAAAGTTATTTATAGCAGAAAAAGCCACCAATTTAGACATACATTTTGTCTAGAGCATGATAAGGGTTAAAGTGGCGATGTGGGTAGCATGAGTCTCATTAAGTCTGTTGTACCAAAACGATCAAACTCAGCCTTCGGAAACGAGGCAACTGAGACAAAATCATGGCGGGAAAGTAAGCAAGTTTTTAAAGTTTATTTAACGTGTCTTTGCAAAACAATCCATAGAATGAATGCATAATAAGAGAAATTGTGTTCATGCATATGAATACAATAGTTCAGAGATTTTGTTAACAACTGATATTAGCGTCTATAGTAAATGTTGTCGGACGAGTTTACTTTGGTTAGTCTTACACTATGAACAAACAAATTAAATATTATCATCTGTTTCAAATAAGTTCTCATCGCTGAATAAATTAGTACAGGGCATGAATTATATGCTTAGAAACCATTAAGATTTGCAACTGCTTGTAGTTTGTAAATAAAATTGTTGTGTAATGTAGAGGACACGCACAAACGTACGAAAGTATAGACAACAGAGCGTAATTCACTGCATGGCCACGACAAAATATTTTGAAAGATTTTAGTCCCTCCAGGCGAGTGGCCTTCAGACGGACCTCAATTGCCTCTGTTCAAAAACCACGCTTCTCCATCTGTTTTTATCTTCCTGTATCGTCAAACACTATTCAACCTCTGAAGACAAGTCATGCGGGTAACATACCGGCACGAGGAACTTGCGCACTTCGGCCAGAGCGTACGCGATCCTGGCGTGGGCCTCTGCGGGGGGAGCAAAGGCCGTGATCTCCACGTGCAGGTCGTCGTTAAAATGCGCGTACTTGGGGTCGGCGGAGGTGCGAAGTTCTTCTTCCTGGAACACAGATCTCATTGTTGAACCTAATGGTGCCTCCTTTAAAACCAGTGCATAAAATAAACGCATAATAGCGATGTCACCTACATCATTGAAAGCTTTTGGGTGGATTTAATTTGCACGCGACGTTCGTTAGACGTTCAAATGTAGAAAGTTTCAAGCAAAACTATAGAGCAGAACCTATCCATTTTTACTGTGCTCATATTAAGTTTATGTTAAAAGTAGGGGAGACCAGGGCAGAACGGAGAACTTAATCTTTGGAGGCATGTGGAAGGGACAATAACAAAGACAAACACATGGAGGAACCTCGTGTGGATTTATTGTCTATTTGATATTTATTACTTATTACGTTAGTTCTAAGAGTTACAGTTTATTTAAACATAAATTTCTTTACAAAAATGTAATTTATACCATTTTGCCCCGTGCCCGGGGCAAAACGGGGTATGGTTGATATATGTTTCAGAAAGTTGTAAGAATACACAGATTATCTAATAATTATGACGTACGATATAAAAATGATTTAGTATACAGCGTAAAATGTCGAAAATTTACAAATTTGAAATCTACTTAGGTCTAACACAGACGGCACACATGTGCACCTTTTCATCATCGTAACTATCAACACCTGCACATGGATTATGAACCCATTTCAAGCAAGACGAACACCGGATACACCCTTCAATTGACTGCGAATAGACATCGTCACAATACAGGCACTCATCATCTTGATCCTCTTCTCGACTGGGTACCCCATTCTGCCCAGAGTATACTCTTTCAAATTAGGATTGTCCCACCAAAAATGACATCATGAAAATAAATAAAAATATCCTGTTTAAGACTTTCAAGAAAACACCTTGTAACAAGCATTATTTAATAAAGTTGATATGAATAATGAATAGGTCTTACCTTCACTGGAAGTTGAGAAAAATGTAGGAGCAAAATCTAGCATGGGTGATTATTTCAGAAACTGTAACCACAAAATGGCGCTGACTGACATTACATGACCCTGAGCTGTATGCTAATGGTATTTCACCCGGTCCCGATATATCGCAAAGTATTGCTGACGAAACAAAGCCGATACCCCGTTCTACCAACGGTTCTCCTATATGGAAATGATTAATTTTATTCCGTGTAAGCCAAATATGAGTTCGAGTTTACATTTGCCTCATAAAGATGTCATGACGAAGACAGTCTTCTCGGACATTGCATCCTGTAGTCTTGTACAAATTTACAGACGTTTGAGAGATGCGTACTGCCTCTATTATCAGGGGGATAAGTTCCCTCATAATGGAACCAATTCGCACCTCTGAAACGTCGGTGAACTTTACAAAGCTACAAGGCTATCATATTCACATTAACCGTCGTGAGAACCTGAAATCTATAAAAAATTATACAATTATTCTTTAAAAACCACCCGTCGTACGAAAAACTTATACATAAAATCTTATTAATGAATAAAATATTTACGCTCTTTATTTTATTATATATTTAGATTTGGCGAGTAACAATACTAAAGGCAAATAGTTAATGGAGTAAGAGAACGTATCGCGACAGCTCAAAAGTAAAGAGACCGACAACGGACTGCTGTGTTCAATAAACAACCGCAGAAAGGCCACGTCTGTTCGCCAGGGCCTCTAGACTAGCTCTCGGCTTCACCCAGTCTGTCTTCCTTCTGATATCGGGAGTAAAGCGGTCGGAGCTTGATACTCCCATTAATTTTAATTTAGTATCGATGTTAAGATTGTAGGGAGCGATAATTGTACACTTTGTCTTTATGGCGTAACATTTAATCACGGCGGCAACTTTAACTTTTATAATTTTATAAAGTAGGAGATGACCTGGACTTATGGGCGTAGCTGTCCCTCACCTTGTGCTTGTCCCTCATAGAGCCCCTGCCCAGAATCGCCATCTTTGTCATGGTGTCCTCTTGCAGTCTCTTGAGGGAGTTGCCTTTGGGCCCCAGCAGCTTCCCCACGAAGTTAAACTGCAACGAAAAGAAATCATGCGTCATGACATTTATACCTGCACCGTGTTACAGCGCCATGTACACCCCAAGTTGTCTCACTTTGCTTCGAAATACAGAAGGGCACTTTTTTCAGATCTTTAACACTTTAACGCCGCAACTTTTGAGGAGGTTAGTCAATATAGTAAGTTACTATATTGACTGCTACGGACTGAACAACCGGGAATCGATCCCCGACAGTGGTAATATTATTCTTTCATCTTGTTCCAGACCGGCTCTGGGGCCCACCCAGCCTCCTGTGCAATGGGCACCGGGGTTCTTTCCCGGGGTAAAGCGTGGCCGTGGAGTGACCTTAAACGGACATAAGCATTGTCACTCAGTTTCCCGCAGATCGGCAGAAATATGCGTTTGAAAGAATGACCTTCGAATGTCCTTGAAAATTAAAAAGGCCTCTATTCGGATAACCCACGGACTGATATTGACGTGATCATGACATGACGTTGCCCTGTCGGTGACCTCAAACTGGCATGAGTATTGCCGCACAGTTGTCTGCAGATCGGCAGATATATGCGTTTGAAAAAACTGACTTTCGAATGACTTTGAGATTTTAACAAGCTTCTATTCACAAAATCCAAGGACTGTTAAAGCTTTGACTACGACATAAAGCTGACCTGTACGTGACCTAAAACAGACTTCAGTGTAGCTTTTGAAGAACTGACTTTCGAATGACTTTGAAAATTAGAAGGCCTCTGTCCGGCAAACCCTCTGACTGATCGTGCACTTGACATTAAGCTGACCCGTCCGTGACCTTAAACTGACATGAGTATTATCTTCGGTAGAGAATAAAGCAAGACCAATTCGGTAGATATGGCTTTGGTGACGTCTAAACATATTTTATTGCATGCAGATACACGATGTATAAGCATTGGATTTCATATTCTTAGAGCTATGCTTCCTTTCGGGCTGATTGTTTTCGATAGATCAAGACCAAGTTCAACACCATAAAAGTGAATCAGAACGCGAATTGTAAAAGATGAAGTCGCTATACATAAAGAATATTTGATAAGAAGACGAATGAATGTGCATGTGTAGGTGGTGAATTGCGCTATGGACAAAAAAATAATTAAAAAATATAATTTCCTACTAGGAAGATGGGATATTTGTTTTATAACTTTATCAGATATAAAACACTTCTATTCTAAGTAAATATGACAGCTACACACACACGATGATATTCCTTCACTATATGATGTATGGCAAAACACTTGGAGTGCAATCCTGTCTTCCTTGGACACGTGTCAGTATACGACTTTTCTCTCCTATCTCCTTTCACTATTATAAGGTACAAAAAATCTTACCAGGAAAACTAGGATAGAACTACTGCAAAGAAGAAGACCAGCCTCAGTTTGACTACAGATCACGTAAAAAATTCGTAAAATACGTGGCGGACTCAGTCCGACATAGGACCGCAAAGGGTTGACGAATAGTGATTCATGGTCTAGAATTCAGGTCTTGCGGAAATTAAATGTTATCGCAACACAACGCTAAATAATTTTGATTATATACTATGAAAAACTGCAGGTATTATACAGTAAAACGTTTCTTTGAAATTCCTCTAAATTTAGTGGTCTGGGAGACGCACTTCTTGCCAGACCACATTTGATACTGCTATTAACCATCTGTGTATTGAATCTGATATAAAAATTAAATTTTCGTCTTTTGATTCTTTATTTCCATGGTAGCTTACAGTTTCAGTTTACACCCGTAAGAAGAAGGACACATTCACGTTCATTTAACATTCTACACGCATGACCACTGCCAGCTGCATAGGAAGGGCACAAGAGAAATACGGGGAGGGGGGGGGTTATCTAGTGATTCAACAGGGCCCTTGGCACTGGCTTAAGTATTTAAGTATCAAATCCGTACAAATCACTTCCATTCATAACTTTTATCTTAGGTCAGTACTCAAAAGACATACACTCAAGAAATAATTTAGCCCTTTAACTAATAAAAGACGTAACCTAACTAGACACAACAGAAGTCACTTATCTCAATGTTTAAATGTATAAGTAAAGTCAGTGTGCCAGGTGACTCAATTCCTTGACTGCAAGATGAAGATAATGCGCTCAAGATATTACCGCACACACGGAGAAATGGTGAAACCATAGACAGACAGGGTAAAGAAGGTGACCTGAAAATAAAATTTAAAACACAAGGGTCGAGGACTCAGAGACAATTTAAGGACAAATAGCGGACAGGATTTTGAGGCCGATACACCTATTGGTACAAACAGTAAAGACAAAAAGATTAAATAAAATTACCAATTGTTTTGTACAGTTTTATTCAGAAAAGTTTTTGGACCCGAAATGTTAAGAGATCATTGCTTGATGAAGATGATAGCTTGATTATTAGTCGGTCAATAAATATGTTACTCAGAGAGTTAATTTACAAGTCAGTCCATAATCAATTAGTCACTTAATTCATCAAGAGATTTAACGATCATTTAATTTGCCGTTTAATTACTTGATTAGCCACTGAGTTAATTAGTCTAAGACTATTAGCTAATGAAGTTATGTAATACTTTTCTTGCTACAGCAGAGGGTCATGCACCCTATGATCTTTCCAAAAGTCTTATGTTTAATTCACATAGTTTCATTAGCTGGTGATCGTATTAGCGAGTGGGCCATTTACCGTGTAAACACATGTACAGACAAACAAACAGACAAGTTGCCGTCCAGAATACTGAACCCGGATCTTCCCGTATTAGGAATGCTCCTGGCCACTGTTGGCGTAGCAAATATTGGTTTAGAAGTGGGAGGGGTACTAATTGAATGTCTGCTTCAGATAATTCTGTTGATACTACCCTACACGTTATTGTATCGTACTGAATCAAGAGGAGCCTCTGTTTCTTGGATTCGTCGCCAGAGCTTGCAATCGCTGGGTCTGAAAACGTCAAGCAGCGGATATGCAATTGGGCATGCAGTGACCAGCTACAAATTTTCTGAGTAATGTTCAGTGACGCAATGGTGTTCAGAGCCAAGACACGTTTCTGCAGCTTTCTTTATCGGTGTAGGCGTAACGAATTTACTGAAAATTTAACTCGAATCGGTGATTAAAGTACTAAAAATAAGGGGCTGAAAAACTGGCAAGGATACAAGTGACCGTGTACATAATATAATTTTGGCGTGTATATACTTCCTGGCAGTGCCTACCCACCGCCAAATATAATTCTGAATTAAGTATTTCAAATGGTGATAAAAACAAAATAAAACTAGATTACAGGAGTAAATTGATATTTGTTCGGAGAAATATGATTACATGACAAAAGAACTTTAGCAGGATAGCTTAATTTAATTCACAGACCGTCTAAAAGGGTCATATTACTTGAACTTCATTTAGAAGAATCAGCTTTCAATAATTGTTTCATAATGTTCAAGATAAAGGCAAATTATATCAGAAAAAGTTTACTATAATTTAGTTCTAGAATAATTACGCTACAGATTAAACTGTGTATTCAGAGAGTATTTGGAAGATCCCGGGTTCAAATCTTGTCCCGGACACAAGCTATCCTGACTGCAGTTTCTCGTCCGAATTCCAGGATAGTACCATTAACTAGCTCAGGACCGCCTCTTACATATCCTTTCAAATTCACTATTAACTATCAACCTATCATTCATCGGTAAAAAGCCTACAGTTAGGGATAATGAGAGCGACGTTAATTAGACTATAAATAAATAAAAACACAGGCAAATTTTGGGATTGTTCATTCAAATATGTCGCTAACGTCTCCTTCCAATTACTTTCCTCTTCAATATTCACGATCAGTTTCCAATTTCATCATATCCTTCCGGGTCTTAGGTTTAATTTTAAGCTCGAGTTATACAATAATACGGAACAATGTTCAAAATATTGAAATATGCTTCAGTGCATTTTTAACGTCTTGCTTGATGCTGGTAGCTACAACGTAAGAAATTGTTTGTACTCTGTTTTGTAATCGTTTTAATACAACCACTACTTAACATGAAACCGAGCCCTATCAGTTCTGTTAAAAGATAGGTCCATAAAAATTTCATAATTTAAGTCTGCATTGTCATTTTCGGACACATTATTTTACAAAATATTTTAAAAACATTTCGATTAAGTAATTCCAATGAACAAAAAAATGATTTCTTAATAAGCCAATGCTTGTTCAACTAGTCAATAAAGTCTCTTCTTTTTAAGTAACCCATATTATAATTACAGAGTTCACAACAGCCCGCCATTTCAGTCTATAATAAACCATATTAGTCCAGTCTACATCCTCATAGCATATGTTTAAGATCCACCTAAATATTATCTTCTTCTCTTTACACCTAAGTCTCCTAAGTGGTCTTTTCCTTTCTGACTTCCTAACTAAAACTTTGTATGCATTCTTAATGTTTCCAATATACACTACATACACAGCCATTCTCATAACTCTTCATCAGACTAATAACATTTATTGAAGAGCACAATTATAAATTACAATTATAATTATTCAGTTGAAGATGGCTGCCTTCTGGGTTGTTACGCCGTGTAGTGTGGTAGGAGTTTACTGACGTTTCAGAGGTCAATGCTGTCTCTATCATCGCGCTGATGATGGAGGCAGCAAGGTCCTCTGAAACGTCGGCATAATTCTACCAGACTACACGGCGTAACAACCGAGAACACAGCCATCTTCAAACCCCCCGCCATGAAAACCTCAAATCCTACATATGTACTCCTACTCCATTTAGGTTTATTTTGTCATTATTGTTTTTAATTCTGACTTCATGATATGCAGGTATATTAACTTCATTTATATTTATTTCTAGACTAATAACAATACAGAACCTATGACCTATGTCTAAATCAAATGTGCCATACGCAGTTACTAGGCCAGTAAAATGACTACCTCAAAACATGAGATAATCTGTCACGCAAGAAAAAATGTTTCGACTTGAGCATTCATGAAGCATACACATGTGGGAGACGTGTTCTAACTTTGTAAAAATATCGCTACG